CGTCAGATACGTGCACACTAGGTGGAATCGGATGTGAATCGGATTAGATCTACGCGAATGACATGATTAAAATTCATAAGTACGTTATTATTTCTGATCGAAAAAAATTACAATTATGAAGTAAAGAAGTGGTCGAAACTAAACTTGCTTTTTTTTACTTATGATAATTTCGTTTCTACCAAAAAATGTCGCCTTTTGATTGCCCCTTTCTCTTTTCGCATTCTGTTGTAAAATGAAGGCAAAGGGTGAGAAAATTTCGTGTTCGTTTCTTAAAATTCCACACTCATGTTAGGCAAAAACGGCACATTGCCTGCCCTTTGAAGCTTTGTCAGGGGTGATGGTTCGCCTTGAAAATCAGATAGTGGCTTAAAACGACAATATCGAGAATTACGTGAGCCAGACATGAACAAGAAGGCAAAAATAACCCTTTTATAGGATTGAGTGTAACATCCATATATGTGCTGCCTTTTCTCCCATGAGGCGATTTCTTAGAGGCTCGTATATAAGGCCGGCTGCACTGAACAATTACTCACTTGGAACGCTGGCGGGTGGAGCGAGAGGATTTTCACCGAGATGAGCTCGTTTTTCTTTAAGATAGGCCTTCAATTGAGCTTTAATCTCACATTTTTTATGTCTCCAGAATCTGCATCCGAGCTCTCGCTTTCCCTCGAGGAATCTTAAATAATTTCTATGTTGCTTTTACGACTTTTTTGAAGGCCCATCAATGTTGTTTGATATACAACTTAGCGCCTAAAGCTGAAAGCCGGTTATTGTCCGCACCCTGGTTAGACAGACTTAGAGCCATTTCAACATGTGCAAATTCGCATTCGCAAAAAAATTCGTATCATTTGATGAGAATGCGAATGTGTAAAATGATGCGAATCATTCGCAACATCCCTGGTTGAGTTATACTTGCAACAATGCACTTTCAAAATGCGCTGGCAGTACTTTAAGACCATCAGAAGGGGCTGGCTGTAGAAATTTCATCTATTTATAATATTTCTAATGTGCTGTTAAAAGGACAGCTCATCTGAAGTATGTTGACTCATAGTTGCAACAATACACTTTCAACATGGTCTGGCAGTACTTTAATAAGACCGTAAAAATGGGCAGGCAACCTTGGATTCATTTTCTATATACTACTGTAAAAAAAAATTCTATCAAAATTTCAAATCATCTGAAGTATGTTGATTAATCGGTTTCTATTGGCATCTTTAATAGCTAAAACGCAGGGTCAAGACCCATGATTCAATAATAGAAAGGTTTTGTAATAGCAGTCTTCTCGCTCCCACACATAAAATTGGCTCTTTTAGTTACTTGTGCACAATGTTGCTGACTCTATAGTTTCTAGTTATACGAGTAGTAAAACCAAAAATTCTTCATACTAAAGATTCGTTGGCATCACCTTCAATTGCGTAATTTTCTTGTACAAGTCTAGAATAGCGCCCGTTTAGCTATAAAAATAACCAAACAGCCGATTGATAGAACTTTTTTCGCTGATTTCAACGATGCCAAATTTATTTGGCGCAGTTAAAAAATAAAGAAGATATAAGAGGTTTATTTGCTTTGTTTGTTTAAATATTTTACTATCACTAAATTCTTGAAACTCAAAAGAAGATCATGATAAAATATGCATATCGAATTAAAGATAAAAACTAGTACTTTCTAAATAGAACAAAATTTCTTCGCCATTAATTATGCAAAAAAGGTTATTTCATGAAAATATAACATTTGTTCATTTTTTAGTGGTCTTGGTTTGAAAATATAAAAAAGCATATAAATATAATATATGGTGACGTCATCAGTTGTTTAATCGGTTATGTAGTTCATATTAATATAAAAATATATATATATAATATATATTAATATTTAAAATATCAAAATATTTAACCGTCTAGACCGTCTTTATTTTTTACTTGCGCCGAATAAATTTGGCATGGTTGAAATGAGCGTAAAAAGTTCTACTGATCTGTATTTTTCGTTTTTGTATAGCTGAACGGTTGATATCCTATATTTGTTTCAGGATATGACAATTATAAATATTTTGACGTATTGTGTTGTATTTCCATTAAAACACCAAATATATTGCAAATTCACATATGTAGAATTAATAATACACATTTTACTTCTAATTGTATACTTTGCGTACTTTTTTTCAGTACCTTTCTACCGCCGTTTTCGCAAAAGGCGATCACATTCTTCCCCTTTCTCCTACTTCCGAAATACAAATCTAGATAAAGGAGTGTCAAATTTGAGCTGTCACAAATTACATAACCTTGTATTATTAAATCATGGTCAAGACCGCTGTTCAGCGGCCAGCCCTGCGGATATCGATTCACATACTAGCAAGCTAAGCTTACAAAAAACTTCAATCGATCTGAAGTATTTTTGGTCATGAGCTCTTGGTCTATCAATTCAGTCCTCTTGAAAACTATACTTTTTTAATTTTCCTTACTTTCTGTATCAAAATGTAAGTTTTCATAATAAATTAACTTAACTACTTTTCACTCTAAGCTACCCTTTATATGTGCGTATGTATATTTTGCATTTATAAAAACTTGTATTTGTTCTTTTTGTATAACATTTACGGTCTACATATGTACAAAAGCGCCAGGAGGGGCTGATCATATATGTACATATCGCACACCGTCTTCAAAAGAGTCACAACTCAAAATAATACGTTTGTCAGAAATTGCGAAAAACTATTTCTTAGCACAAGATAATCATATGGGCAAGGGCGACTTTACCTTAAGTTTTTTTTTAACAAATTATAACAAAAATTTGCTCCAACTTTTGCTAAAAGGTAAATAAAAGCTCTGTATACATTTTTAGCGCATAATCTCAAAAATGCCAAATTTCGAGTTGTGACTCTTTTGAAGACGGTGTGCGATATGTATGTATGTATTTATGTATGTGCTTAACTACTTAAATATGAAGGCCTTTCAATACATTTTTATTTTATTTTATTTCTTTGTATTCCCAGCAAAAATTTTGATTAATTCGAATTCCCACACGGCCATTGAGTTGCAATCGGCAAACGAGTCTGAATGTGGACAAATATCACATGAACACTGCAGATTTACCCCAACACGCCTCAGAACAGAGGTGGGAATTTGGCGTCAACTGATCGTACTCACCCGCCGGTCTTTGCGTACAATGTCAAGAAATTTGGTAAAATACTTTTAATACTCTAGATTTTAATACTCTAAAAATATGTTTTTCTATATTTATTGTTTAATTCAGATAGCAGTTCAATTGCGCGTGGTAATGCATGTGATTGTTTCAGCGCTTGTTGGAGCGGTCTTTTGGGATATTGGCAATGACGGTGCACGGGTATTAACAAATATTTCCTGCATATTTTTCATCATTATGTTTATATTCTTTGGCAATGCAATGCCATCTATTTTGTCGTGTAAGTAGAAGTAGCAGGGACTAATAAAAAGGAACCTAAAGTTCATATTTTTTTAATTATAACAATCTTAGGTCCGCAAGAGACGGCGGTTTTTATACGCGAATACCTTAATGGCTGGTATTCGCTTAGAGCATATTATGTTTCAATGCTGACCTCGGACATTCCTATGCTCTTCATTTGCCCAACTCTATTTACCACAATCATTTACTTTGTAGTGATACACATTACTTGTTAGACACTTGTTCTTAAAATACTTT